GTGCCTTCATATATTGTATAACAAGAATATCAGGAAGTTTTTGATTCCCAGTTCGAAGTTATGATAAGTTGGTCGTTCGAGTTGTCAATGTTTTTAACATATGCAGGCAAACCCATATACTGTATTTTCTCTAGATCAAAATCTATCAGAATGCAAGTTTCTTGTAAGTGGAAATGCTGATCCTAAACTCATTGTTTTCATCAAAAAGGTTTTTTTTACAAAATGAACCAGGTTTCTTTTCCCTTAGATACAATGGCAACCTCATGTGGGTTTTTTTAACACAGCCATACATTCTGGGATATTCATTTAAATCAATATAAACCTTTCACCTTCAAAATTATCTCTCAGTCAGTTTAAGCTTTGGAATTATTGGCATCTGTGATTACCAAAGTATTGTCAGGTAGTTGACATATTCCATTTATACTGCACTTGTTACTGTCAGTTTGGCATGTGATATCAACAGATTGTTTGAGTTGTAGACGAAATACAGAACTTTTAGTTGTTTCTTCAACAAACCTTTTCCCAAGTGCTGTGATATCTTTAGGTATGAACTTCATCTAACTTATAAAAAAGGGAGGTCTGCAGCCAATTGTTTAAAAGATGCTGTCACTACTCTCTGCAGCCTCCTCCAAGGTTGCCTGGTAGTTCTTCTTTGATATGAAAGTCTCCACTTCATTCATGCCATCTCTGCTAATGTGATTTAAGGCTCTTTTTCAATCCTGATTAAAACCGAGTTCAAGTTCTTTGATATCGGCCTTGACAGCATCTTGATGTTTTGCATGAGCTTTTCTAATATTTTTTCTAAGATGTTTTGCTAAATTTATTCTTCTGTATTAACCTCTCTTCTTGTTCATCAATATCAGCCAAAAGATGTTTTTTCTTTTCCCCATCATTTCTTTTAAGTTTTGATTTCGATATATATCTTTTTCCTGTATAGCAGATTTCTCAACTTTTGCAAGGAAGATTTTTAAGTGCAAAATTCTTGACTTTCTTTAATTCCCTCAGCAAACTGTTTCTAATACCCAAGTTTATTTCTTTGCTAACCTATATAATGTGAAACAGTAATTATATTATTATCCTTACTTAAAAACGAAAAGCCAAAACATGAATTCAATGAATGTTATCATTTGTATTTTTCAAGATTTTCTTGCACCTTTTTATTAAAAATATTAAAAAAGCAAAAATAAAGAGGTTAATCCTAAAACAAGTAAGTTGCAACTGTACAACCAGTGGGCTTCATTATTTGCACACTTTACTAATGAATATTTAAATATTAAAGTTATTGCCCTTTTTTTTCAGCTCTTTGAAAATGGATATGGACACTTAGAACATTGTCCGGGACTTAACAGTAAAATACAAGAGATATCAACAAGAAAACTTTGTAGGTAGATAGAATCTCATTAAGTGCAGTGCATTAGAACCATAACCTGCCCCTAATATTTGAGTTATTGCCCTTTGTTCATTTTTACACTTTAAACTTTGTCCAGGACTTAAACTTGAGAAAATAAAAGGTATTGAAACTTTGTAAGTAGACAGATTTTATTAGGAAGAATGGCAAGGGAGTGCAATTTGAACTTTTTCTGGGACATATAACTTGAGAATTATAAAAGATATATCAACTTCAAACTTTGTAGGTAGATACATCTAAATGAGAAAAAGTACAGTGCAAGAAGAACATGACTGTTTCCCCCTTTCTTAATTTTGGAGTTATTGCCCTTGTTCATTGTTACATTCTGAATTTAGCCTAGGGACATAACTTGAGAACTATAAAAGGGGTAGCTAGATCTCACTGAGTAGCAATGCAGAAATCTCTAGGAGAAAGAATAATACTGCCTTAAAAAGAAAGTCATGAAAAATTCCAAATCCAAACTTTAATTCAATGTTATTGATGTAGGACAAATAATTCAAAATCATTTGAAAAAAAAAATCTATTAAACTTCTGCATTCTCCCTAATGTGCAAAATTATTAACTTAGAAAAGCGCATTGGCTGACAAGCACGTGTCTGGGGTATTCGTCACTTGTGTCAAGCTTCAAGTTTTTCAAGTTGTCTCAGATACCATAAGTTATATCTTTAGTCAAAGAGAAAAAAGACAAACCTGTGTTTTTATTGTTTACACAAATTCTGCAAACACTTTTTTTAGGGCTTTGCAATTTCTGTAATGAATTGTCCATAAGACTTCCACATTCCACTGACCTTTCCCCGGACTTATCCGTGTCACCTGGAACTCAAATTAGCTTTAGTGGGCCCCCAATTGATTGGGTTTTCGTAAATTTTGCAAATTGTTATGGTCCCTTTTAAAAAAGTCCTGAAAAAACTATGTTGGGACAGTCCCCAAAAATATTTTATTTTGGCCCCCAGTTTTTCTTCCCCGGGTTTCAGAGCATGGTTGTTTAAGTTAATTTTTCCTTTAGACCCAGTAATCCCCGGTGTTTTTACCTCTTTCCCTGCCATATCTCTTTTTCCCGACTGGTTTTTTAAAAAAACACAGCAATGTTTTTAAATAAATTAAAAATTTTTTAATTCTTGGGGGTTTTCAATATAATCAAAATTAACCACCCCCCAATTAAAAATGACAACAATAGAATCTTTCCAAAGTTTATCTTTGATTAACCTCTTTTGTGTGTCAACCCAATAAATGAATAAAAGCCCCATGAAAAACTTGATATATGTTAATTTAGAGTGAAATAATGTTTGTTTCCCAAAACTGTGACTTAGAAACTAGATATTTGCATGTGATCATTGACCTACAAATGACAGGGTGAAAGGACAGAGGAGGAAGTTGGTAACTGACTGTTTCAAATCTTGTTTGTTTTAAACTATTATGTACAGACAAACCTGTGTTAAAGAAAACAGTTACTTTTCATTGGTAAAAATGGAAATAAAGTAACCTCCAAATCAGACCAACTTGTCTATAAAAGGACTATAAGTATTCTTTCCACTTTGATGGTCTTTATTCACAGGTTTTTAACTGCTATTTATATTTCCAAAGTACTGGGTTGATGATGAGGGATGAATTATTATACGGAGATGAGATACGTCTAACATGGATACATCTGCTAATATCAGTATGAAAGAGAAACAAAATCTAGGTAATGTGTTTACTACTTTAAGTACTATAATATTATACTTTGAATTTGGAATTATCCAATAGTAATGTAATAGTCTACTGATAAGTGTAAGCAGTTGTGTTTTTGAGAAAGGAACTTTTCATTCATTCAGCAAAGTTAGTACTGGTTGGTTCAATAGTTTGTCTATAGGCTGAGAGCTTACTACACAATCAAACTAAAACAAATTTTGTATAAACTAAATCTTAAATTATAAATAATGCATTCAGTGATTATACAAAATTGATAACAAATCTTTGTTACATAAATTTTAAAGGACAAAAATTATTGGTAATGTTTTCAGATAGAATCTTGAGACTCTCAGGACTGAATTTAAAAACAATGGAGTATGGTTCACTGCCAAGTATATCTACATATATAGCTATATTATCACTTGGTATAAAATCTTGAATAACTTTAAACCTGACCCTGCTAAATTTGTGAAATGGACTTGTCCTTATACGGAATTTGGAACAGTCCATTTGAGGTATAAAGGATTTCAAATTATTGAGAAGCTGGCAGTATAAAAACTAGTCCTAGTACACACATGAGCAGACTACCCTTGTTATATTTTGGTGCCACAGGTTATATCTTTTTGGTTAAAGTTGCTTAAAATATTGAATGTTTATTTTATATGATAGCAAAAAGTCTCGGAAGAAGGAATTGAAGATGTCATATTGGGTAGCTGTTGCACGAGAAAATGGATCTTTAGAAGTTTGTATTTTTTAAAATATTAACGAGATAGGATTTTAAATTAAGTATGATAGGATCAGCCATGTATAAACAAACCTGAACTCAATATTTCATTATAATTTCTTTTCCTAGGCAGTTTACTTTTCTTTTCCTAAGCATTTTTTCCAGATTAAAATGAATCCAAACAAACAATTCTCCATTCATTTGAATTAAAATATGGCAAACAATACATAAAATTAAATATGAACAAAAAATTATATATCCAGTGAAAAATGATAATGTACATGACTTTGTCAAAATCTAGATGACACCTCTCAAGAGACTGTTATGTCTTTTGTGGAATAGACTGTTATGTCTTTTGTGTAAAAAATTGTTATGTCTTTTATGGAATAGACTGTTTTGTCTTTTGTGTAAAAGATTGTTATGTCTTTTGTGGAAGAAACTGTTATGTCTTTTGTGTAAAAGATTGTTATGTCTTTTGTGGAAGAGACTGTTATGTCTTTTGTGTAAAAGATTGTTATGTCTTTTGTGGAATAGACTGTTATGTCTTTTGTGTAAAAGATTGTATGTCTTTTTGTGAAAGAGACTGTTTATGTCTTTGTGTAAAAGATTGTTATGTCTTTTGTGGAAAGAGACTGTTATGTCTTTTGTGTAAAAGATTGTTATGTCTTTTTGTGGAAGAGACTGTTATGTCTGTTGTGTAAAAGATTGTTATGTATTTTGAGTAAAAGATTGTTATGTCTTTATAGTATCATCAGTTTATATCTCAGTAAAAATAGTTATAGAAATTTTAACACCTTGACAAAGTATTTTTTTATTCACAAGAAGTCATCACAAATAATAAAATATTTCAGATATTGAGTTTACCAGACTTTAAGATAGCATACTATGTGAAAGACATTCCCTATTGGCCAGAAAGTATTGGTTGAACAGGAAGTTTAAAAGAAATAAGTGCCAGCCAAATCTGGGTGAGATTTCATCTTATTTCGATAACATTTTTTATAAATATATATAAAATATAAAGTTACTAGGCAACATAAATAAAAACAATAATCTTTGTTTAAAACTAAAAATTTAGCAGCAGCTGTGTACGTCGGATATAAAATATTCTCAGTTGTTGTATGAAATTTTATGAAATTTTTTTTATGAAGTTATAATGCACATAAATATATAATATTATGTGTATCTACTTTCAGTCTGGGTTGAGTCAAGACAAGACAGTTACTGACAGCATGTATAATATACATGAGGTGTTACTTGTTGGATTAGGACAGCGGAAATCTAGACCATACCTGCTGGTAAGATGATAAATGTATTTTATTTTAGAGAATAATTGTTGGTTGTGTAGTAATCAGTCCATGTATGTAGAGAAGCATGATTTGTAAACAACATTATTAGGGGCATCAGTGGGCAAGTGGTTAAGGTTGTTGACTTCAAACCACTTGTCTCTCATTGCTGTAGATTTAAATCCTGCCAGGACTTTGTATTCTTTTATGTGAGGAAGCTATCCAGCCATCTGATGGAACTTAGGTGGTTCTACTCAGGCACCCCCTTTCCATGCTCTTAAATGGACCTGTTCATCTGGCAATATGGACTTAACCATTCCTCATGATGTGCCAGCTTAAGTTGATCTGCACTGGTCACATGGGTGATATGAACTTAATCATTTATCATGATGTGCCAGTTATCATTGATCTGCACTGGTCACATGAGTTATATGAACTAAATCATTTATCATGATGTGCCATTTATCATTGATCTGCACTGGTCACATGGGTAATACGGACTAAATCGTTTATCATGATGTGCCAGTTATCATTGATCTGCACTGGTCACATGGGTAATATGGACTAAATCGTTTATCATGATGTGCCAGTTATCATTGATCTGCACTGGTCACATGGGTAATATGGACTAAATCGTTTATCATGATGTGCCAGTTATCATTGATCTGCACTGGTCACATGAGTTATATGAACTAAATCATTTATCATGATGTGCCAGTTATCATTGATCTGCACTGGTCACATGAGTTATATGAACTAAATCATTTATCATGATGTGCCATTTATCATTGATCTGCACTGGTCACATGGGTAATACGGACTAAATCGTTTATCATGATGTGCCAGTTATCATTGATCTGCACTGGTCACATGGGTGATATGAACTTAATCATTTATCATGATGTGCCAGGAAACATTGATCTCTACTGGTCACAGCAGGCTATTTAAGCTGAAATACCTTTTATGCTATGAATAAAATTTCATCATTTGTTTTCAAAGATATAAAAGGGTCCGGCCTACAAAGGCTTGTCTCAAGGTACAATATACGATCATCATGGGTTCTTTAATGTGATTTATTTTCAGGCGAGGGTAGAAGATGGTTTATTGATCTATGAAGCATTCCCGTATTATCAGTCAAAGGAAGACAATCACCTTAAAATACGATTTAAGAAAGTCCAGCATAATCTGATCCTGAAGGAACGTAAAGTAAAGTTCCGAAAGAGAGGCGAAGAGATCTTAGATGAATTTGATGAATTTAAAACTGATCAAGGACAGTGGTTCCGGTACTTTGACGATATTTCAGGCTATAGTGGAGTAAGTACTTGATAAGATTTTATTTATTTTAGACATTATAGGCTTGAGATGGAGATATAATATTATTATGTATGCTCTACTCTGTAATGAGAACATCAGTGAAAATATGTTTTTGCCTGTTTGTGGTTTATAAGTAATTATTCTGTTCTGATATACACAATACAAATTTGGTAATATGTCATTTTATGAAACCCTTGATCAATAGTTTACAATTATATTCTACATTATGAATAAGTTAAATGCATAGTTTCTTAAAGTGAATACCTTTTGCACTAATTTTAAACATTTTACTTTTGTGAGAAAGCATATAAGGGCAATAGCTATAATTTATCATGTTCCATTCCCTTTCTTTTATCAAGTGTGACTCAGGCAGATTATTTTGAAAATCATAAGAAAATGTTATCTTTTATTTCTGTTGTGGACAATTTCATTGTAAAGCCAATTCTTTCCCTTTTGTATAAAAATGAAGTAACATTGCAGAGTTACTCATTTAAGACAATGCCTGAATTTAATTTCTTTAACATTAAATGCTTACTTTGCTTACTAATAGTTTTTTGCAGACTGTATGTTTACATGTATGTATTATTTCAGGTATTTATTTGTGGACCATATCCACACTGGTTGTTTATGACTCAGAGAGGGTCCCTCAGGATACATCCCATGGGAATAGATGGTGCCATCACATGTTTTGCTCCATTCCATAATGTGAATTGTCCCAAAGGTTTCCTCTACTTTAATAAACAGGTAATACAAATGGACAAATGTGATTTTTAATGTGGTTATACAACTTATTGTTACCATTTATATTTCAACATTTTTTTAGCCTGACCATTCGAAGAATGGGAGAGTTACATGTATTGTACTCACCCAGGCGTGGGTGTCACACTTTGAGTAAGTTTTTGTGTGCTGGATGGTATCTCAAAAAGTACAGAAGGAAATAGGTTGGAACTTCACACACTTATTTGATATCATGATAGGATGTCACTGTCCAAGGCCCATAATTCTAACATGGATTTTGACAGAATTATGGCCCTTTATGAACTTAAAATTCTACATTATCCAGGCTCTTGTTTTACTATTGAGCATTGAGAATAGTCATATAGTATTTATCAGCTCCTGTTTTGTTATCTTTTAATTGATATTTACAATATTTGATCCTTAGATTGCTTTTTTTGACATCTTAGCTCGTTGTCGGAGGTACACTTACAATTGTATCCCAGCATAAAAATTTGATTTGTGTTCACTTACTTGTCATAGAGAATTTATAACATGTAAGAAAGGATATAAATTAGGTATCTTTTCATGTACATTGTAATTGAAATAGTCAATTTGTTTTATAATTTAGATCGTTTTGTTTTGTTGTTTTCAGGGAGAACTACGAATTTCAGTATTACCAACTCATTTAACATATGATGCTCCATGGCCTATACGTAAAGTTCCATTAAGATGTACTCCTCATTTTATCATTTATCATACAGACAGCAAGGTAGGAAAACCCAGATGTCATTTCTTTTCTTTAATCCAAAATTACTGTAAATGTATATTTATTCAAGTACGAGGGATGACCGGAAAGTTCATATACGTCTTCATTTTTATGCCCCCACAATGTGGGAGCATATAGCGTTGCACTTGTCCGTCCGTCCGTCAGTCCGTCCGTCAGTCCGTCCGTCAGTCCGTCCGTCCGTACGTCCCGAAATCTTGTGAACGCAACTCCTCTTAAACCGGATGGCAGATTTTACTTAAACTTACAGGGATGAACAACCTTAATGTGTAGATGGTAGTAAAGGAAGGAATTTTCGCTGCGACCAAATTTAACAGAATTATGGCCCTTTGTTGATTTTTTCACTAAATACTATATAGAAATTTTGTGAACGCAACTCCTCTTTAACCAGTTGGCAGATTTTGCTTAAACTTACAGGGATTAACAACCTTAATGTGTAGATGGTAGTAAAGGAAGGAATTTTTGCTGCGACCAAATTTAACAGAATTATGGCCCTTTATTGATTTTTTCACTATATACTATGTAGAAATTTTGTGAACGCAACTCCTCTTAAACCGGATGGCAGATTTTGCTTCTATTTACAAGGATGAACAACCTTAAGGTGTAGATGGTAGTAAAGGAAGGAATTTTCGCTGCGACGAAATTTTAACAGAATTATGGCCCTTTGTTGATTTTTTCACTATATACTATGTAGAAATTTTGTGAACGCAACTCCTCTTAAACCGGATGGCAGATTTTGCTTAAACTTATAGGGATGAACAACTTTAAGGTGTAGATGGTAGTAAAGGAAGGAATTTTCGCTGCGACCAAATTTTACAGAATTATGGCCCTTTGTTGATTTTTTCACTATATACTATGTAGAAATTTTGTGAATGCAACTCTTCTTAAACCAGATGGCAGATTTTGCTTAAACTTACAGGGATGAACAACCTGAATGTGTAGATGGCAGTAAAGGAAGGAATTTTTGCTGCGACCAAATTTAACAGAATTATGGCCCTTTGTTGATTTTTCACTATATACTATATAGAAATTTTGTGAATGCAACTCCTCTTAAACTGGATGGCAGATTTTGCGTTAACTTCCAGGGATGAAGAACCTTAAGGTGTAGGTGGCAGTAAAGGAAGGAATTTTTGCTGCGACCAAATTTTACAGAATTATGGCCCTTTGTTGATTTTTTCACTAAATACTATGTAGAAATTTTGTGAACGCAACTCCTCTTAAACCGGATGGCAGATTTTGCTTAAACTTTCAGGGATGAACAACCGTAATGTGTAGATGGTAGTAAAGGAAGGAATTTTTGCTGCAACCAAATTTAACATAATTATGGCCCTTTGTTGATTTTTTCATTATATACTGTGTAGAAATTTTGTGAACGCAACTCCTCTTAAACCGGATGGCAGATTTTGCTTAAACTTACAGGGATTAACAACCTTAATGTGCAGATGGTAGTAAAGGAAGGAATTTTTGCTGCGACCAAATTTAACAGAATTATTGCCCTTTGTTGATTTTTAGTTTTCAACTTGTGGCACATGTAGTCCAAAAAATATTTGACCTAGAGTCATAAGATTGACAGAACAGTGGCGTGTGGGGGCATCCGTGTCCTATGGACACATTTCTAGTTTATTCTATAACAATAAATACGTTGTACAAATTTTGTCAGCACAATTATACATATCTAGCGAACACATTTATAAAAGATTACTGAACTGTGAGTTAAGTTTGTATTTTAACAGGAGCTACATACACCATATATTCATCGTCATAGAGCACTTTGGCAACGTCAAAGGTGTCAAATTAAATTCACATGTACAGATTGTTCAATTTCTTCCGTTTTCAACAGCCATGGAACCAGTCTGGCGTATACTTAATATAATTGTTTTGTTCCTTTGCCATTACTTTATGAATTTCATATACTGCAATTTATTTAAAAACAAAGATGTCACTGGTTCCCATACACTGTGTGAGATGTCTGTCTTTTTCAAAGAATTTTATAACGCAATCTACAATATTTCGGCCATGCTACTTTTGGTCGACTGGAGCGCTCTAATACCTAATACTGTCATCACCGCTTCTTAATCTTGTTTGACATTTAAAACAAGTTGACTTGAACAATTTATGGCTAAATTTGTGTGTAAAGTAAGGACTAAAATCCCAGTTGGTGCCTTATTAGAGTTGCTATAAAGTTAAATAACATTACGTTGCCCCGTCCTGGAATTTGATGTCATTTTGCAACAAATAATTTACGCACCTTCATTGCCTATAACCGTTGTTAACAAGCTGTTTATTTACGTACTCGTATGACGTCATAATTTACACGAAATATCATGCAATTGTATCCTTTGATGTCACAAAATTAGAACGGGAGTTTGCGTTAAAATTACATATTTTTAGCAACTTATTATTCAAGTAGCTATCATCATAATATCAAAGTGCTCCGTGATTCGTTTATCATGTTGCCACGGTGATTGGCACTTTGCGAATATTACTTTTATCATGCTTTTTAATTTAAAAATATGTAGCATATGAATACTTTAGCAAAATATTCAATCATCATATTGATATGACTGCTTATAATAATTTTATAGCCTTGTCTACGAACTTTCTGGACAGCAGTATATGTCCTTGAGAGAGAGAAGTCTTAAGCTTGAAATATATATATGTTCTGTTATATATAAGTCCTACAGGGTTGTTCTTTGTATTTTTGAATAATATACCTTTGTTTATTGATTATATTTTGATTTATTCCATTTACAAGACCACTTTAATAATTATTTAATATTGCTGTTTTAATTCTTTTGAGATAGCTGCTGAGTCTTGACTTGATTCTGCTACAGCAAGGCCAGTCAGTACTGTGTTATCGTCTATAGCAAGTAATATCTTGGTCATTTTGGCATTATAAATATTTGATCATTGAAATGTCATTTTTATTTCAGACATATGCTGTGGTCATGCATACACCAGATATTGGTAACAAATTGCCCAAAGTTACATCAGAAGAAAGAGAATTTGATGTCTTTGAAAAAGGTATAGAATAAAATTAATGAAAATACCTTTTGAAAAGTGCTGAAAAAGCATTTCCACACCTAAGATTTAACAAAGCTGTTGATTGATATTCTGTTACAAAGAACTGAACTTTTGCATCAACTTTTGTATTTTAAGCATTCATTTAATACCTTTTAATTTAGAGAAATGCAATATATTTCTAATTCAATACATGTTAAATGTGAAATGAAAACATAATTATGATGTTTCAGATAGATTATAGTAATTTGTTAATATCATTGTAAATAGACTCAAAAATTACAGATTTGTATCGTTAATTTCAGATGAGAGATTTGTATATCCGACAGCACAGAAGTTTTCCTGTCAACTTTACAGTCCAACATCGTGGGAAGTTGTGCCAAATACACAGTAAGTTTATTCTAAATTAATCAAAGTCCAAGTGCCTTATTTTGCATCTAGAGTACATACCCACATGCCCTAGAATTGTAACCAGGTGTTCTGTTTGCTATAGGTAAAAAGGTGTTTGTTAATTGATTAAAATGAAACAAATTACTGGAAGTAAAATAAAGTGATGATACAGAGAAATTTTCACAAAATAATAAATTTACTTAAATGTATTAAAATTAGAAAGCAAGTCATCATTTGGCTACTGGAATTCATGGTGTAGTATAGTACATAAAAGTACCACTGTTACCACGGTATCGTTTCTGTTCTTAATAATCATGTAAACGTTTACAAATAAATGTAAACATTGGAGTCTTATAGATGATATCTATTAAAACTAAAACCTCTTTCTAAAATTTGTTTTACTTTATGAATTGTATTTTTCTTCATTCTATATAAATGCACAAAAAACTGTGAAGGTTGACAATAGTATGAAAGGTATTCTTTTTAGCTCTCCTGTCACAAAGTGACAGGGTTTAGCTCACCTGTCACAAAGTGACAGGGTGAGCTTTTGTGATCGCTTTTCGTCCGGCGTCCGTCCGTCCGTCGTCCGGCGTCCGTCCGTAAACTTTTACTTTAAATGACATCTCCTCATAAACCACTAAGCCAATTTCATCCAAACTTCACAGGAATGTTCCTTTGGTGGTCACCTTTAAAAATTGTTCAAAGAATTTAATTCCATGCAGAACTCTGGTTGCCATGGCAACCGAAAGAAAAAACTTTAAATATCTTCTTTTAAAAAAACCATAAGAGCTAGAGCTTAGATATTTGGCATGAAACATCTTCTAGTGAGTGTCTACCAAGTTTATTCAAATAAAAGCCCTGGGGTCAAAATTGGCCCCGCCCCGGGGGGTCATTGATTTTCCCTATATGCATATAGTAAAAACTTAAAAAATCTTCTTTTAAAGAACCCAAAGAGCTAGAGCTAAGATATTTAGCATGAAACATGTTCTAATGGGTGTGTACCAAGTTCAAATAAAAGACCTGGGATCAAAATTGGCCCCGCCCCAGTGGGTCATTGATTTTCCCTATATGCATAAAGTAAAAACTTAAAAAATCTTCTTTTAAAGAACTCAAAGAGCTATGGCTAAGATATTGAGCATCAAACATGTTCTAATAGGTGTCTACCAAGTTTGTTCAAATAAAAGCCCTGGGGTCAAAATTGGCCCCGCCCCAGGGGGTCATTGATTTTCCCTATATGCATATAGTAAAAACTTAAAAGATCTTCTTTTAAAGAACCAAAAGAGTTAGAGCTAAGATATTTAGCATGAATCATGTTCTAATAAGTGTCTACCAAGTTTGTTCAAATAAAAGCCCTGGGGTCAAAATTGGCCCCGCCCCGGGGGGTCATTGATTTTCCCTATATGCATATAGTAAAAACTTAAAAAGTCTTCTTTTAAAGAACTCAAAGAGCTATGGCTAAGATATTTAGCATCAAACATGTTCTTATAGGTGTCTTCCAAGTTTGTTCAAATAAAAGCCCTGGGGTCAAAATTGGCACCGCCCCGGGGGTCATTGATTTTCCTTATATGTGTATAGCAAAAACTTAAAAAATCTTCTTTGAAAAAACCCAAATAGCTAGAGTTAAGATATTTCGCATGAAACATCATTTAGTTAATGTCTACAAAGTTTGTTCAAATAAAAGACCTGTGGTCAAAATTGGCCCCGCCCCTGGGGTCATTGATTTTCTTTATATGTGTGTAGCAAAAACTTAAAATCTTCTTTGAAAAAACCCAAATAGCTAGAGTTTAGATATTAAGCATGAAACATCTTCTAGTAAGTGTCTACAAAGTTTGTTCAAATAAAAGCCCTGGGGTCATAACTGGCCCGGCCCCAGGGGTGTCATTGTTTTTAACTATATGTGTATAGTAAAAACTTAAAAAAAATCTTCTTTTAAAAAGCCCAATGAGCTAGAGCTTAGATGTTTAGCATGAAACATCTTCTTATGTGTGTCTACCAAGTTTGTGCAAATAAAAGCCCTTGGGTTAAATTTGCCCTGCAACGTTTGGGGGGGGGGTGTTGGTTGGGGGGGCCTATATACAGGTGAGCGACCTCAGGGCCATCATGGCCCTTTTGTTTGTAATTTCTCTAGACAGGCAGTTAAAATATATACCATCAACAATTATTGTGCAGTCCAGTAAGCACTGGACTGTGAAATGTGCGACCCTAGTTAGATTATATTCCCAAATGGTGCTGGTCACTTTCAGTTCACTTTCGTTGTGAATCCTTAATTCTAAGGTCATTGTTACATACAATAAATGTGTCCTACATTGATCTTCTGGTAACAAGTTACAAATCTACTAAC